GCGCTTTAAAGAACTCTGTCTCAAGCAGTAGCGCTTTAAAGAGCGTTGTCTCAAGTAGTACCGCTTTAAAGAACATTGTCTCAAGTAGTAGCGCTTTGAAGAACGTTGTCTCAAGAGGTGGCGCTTTAAAGAACGTTGTCTCAAGTAGTAGCGCTTTAAAGAACGTTGTCTCAAGCAGTGGCGCTTTAAAGAACTTTGTCTCAAGCAGTGGCGCTTTAAAGAACTTTGTCTCAAGTAGTGACGCTTTTAAATAATATGCAACTTTGTGTCTTCCCAGTCTTTTCTATACTTTTTATTCTGCCATGTCTATTCCTTAGTTGTTCGTGAGCCGTCTCAGTACCTACGCATCTGTACCACATAAGAATAGTGAGTCCGATTCCACGCCATGCGCGTCTGCGTCCCATGCAATCCGATAAGGAGTTACTTGGTTGCGACTCCCATGAATGCGGTCTGAAGCAAGGAGTTATAAGGGGATCAAAGTACACCGTAGTCACTCTAGGAAGAACATATGTCTGCTCATAACCAAGTTTTGAGCCACATTGATACGGTCGTGGAATAAGTTTGCTTATTGGCAACCGCAAACGTTGACTTCTCCGGAGCTGTGTATGAGACCACGGTTGTATGCCAATATTAAACCCGTCTTCGCCGGGGGCCTTGTACTGCTTGCAGCCGCATCAGTAGACAGCCATGTTGCTTCTTTGAACGTACGTGGTACCTTTCTTCGTGCTCTGTTGCTTTGTATTGGATACCTGACGTACGTACGATCATAGCTATAGTCCTCCTCGCTCGCCAACTCCCAATACTGCTTGCTGCTGTGTTCAAAGTGATATATCTCGAACATGGATATAAACCCCACCCGAGTAGGTCGCACAGAGCCAGTCCTGGCCACAGCACACACAGCACACACACACACACACGTGGATGGTGAATCTCAACTAGTTCTCAGATCGGCGAGACGATCGAGTGTACATACGGCCGTGTGAAGCGAATCTGTACTCGTTTGTGTGTGGTTAATCTACATTCAGTGGATCTCTTTGAGAAGCTCTGCGCTGCCGATATGCCGTGCTCGCTGCAGCTGACTGCTGTGTCGCTGAGTCATACACGCACTTGTTGAGCCATTCACAAATAAGGCACCGTTAAGACGTCGAAACGAATGGGAAACTCCAAAAGAGGTAAGTTTAGTAGGAACCGCAGAGGTGGGCTGTGGTGGAAGTGTTCGTACACCCGTTAGGAATATACAAGCGGCAAATTGATACTCGGGTACCCAATAGGAGACTTTTCCTAGATACTTCTGAGCTCGAATTCCTGGCACAGCTCAGCCTGTATATTGAGTGGGAGTGGGCACAGACCGTCGTATACCATCAGCTGGGCTGTTTTAGGTTGCCATGAGCAACCAGCGTAGAGTTACACAGAAACATGCACGAATAGCACTCAGCAGCTGCATGATACACCCCCCTTGACCGGCACCGGGTTATTCGGTTCAATGATACAAGTAAACAGGTAAACGGAGAGCATCCCATGCACAGGTGAGGTTGTAAGCATGTGTTGACGAAGTCTTACAAGGGCGTACTCACACACACACACACACATA